ACCAACAACACCAACAACACCAACAACACCAACAACACCAACAACACCAACAACACCAACAACACCAACATCACCAACAACAACAACAACAACAACAGCAGCAGCAGCAACAACAACAACAACACCAGAACTACAAACCCACTGCAACGAAGTCAAACCTTGATGGCAGGCGGCGCAGTGTGCGATCAGAGCTACGGCCTCCAGCTGTCCGGGAGGGCTTTGGGCGTGCTCTACCGAAGTCTCCTGGCCTGCCACTGCAACAGGTCAAGCGCCAAGTCCCACAACGCAGCCTTGGGCCACCACGTGTCTCTGGCTCTCTTAACAAACTGTAAGAATTGAGGTCAGACGACTCGCCAAGGCAGGAGCCTGCTCGCACAGTGACAGCGTCTCCCGCAAGCGAATTCCATCCATCGAGCGCAACGTCGGCAGTCGCACGCTTCCCACAGGCCTATCAGCGACCTGTGCCGGGAGAGGTTGAAGCTGGTTCTTCTGAAACTGCTCACCGAAGCGGTCGAAGGTTCGCTGGCATGCTACATGTCTTTCGATTTTCGAGCCTGTACAACAAGTAACAATCGACACCCGTTATCATGACGCTGGGTTTGATGGAGGCTCCAATCTTCTCCACTGGGCTGTCGACACCGCAGAAATTGCGGATGCACCAACGACAGGACAGCAGATCGCCTGCCGATGCTGCAGCAGAGTCAAACTGCCAGGCCAGCAACCTCCGGCGATACTGCAATGAAAGAGCGCTGTTTACTGCTGCTTTGTCAGAAGAGCCTTGTCACCTACGTCGCAAACACTTCTTCTTGGAAAGTTAGTAAGTAAATCTGGCCCCGAGACTGTGAAAACAGGCCGCTACTCAAACCTAAAATGGCGCCGTTTCTTCAAGACAGAACGGAGCCCCGGCTCGAGCCTGATCTTTTTTCAGTATCCCTGGACTCTTGAGCAGATGGTTCACGCCTGCTTCCCAAAGGACGGCCAGGGCTGCATTGATGCTCACATCTCCCACTGGCACTGAGCTGTGCTGCATGGCAGAGAGCCTCGGCCCATGACGAAGCTGCATGGGCGGCATGTGGATACTTGTCACATGTCGACATTATGCCAACTCTTTGGCACGACAATTTTTCACGCAAAACCCAAAACTCCGAACTTCAAGCACAATTTCACTCAAGCGAGTCGCAGGGCTGCCGCGTCCTGCCAGCGTCCTCTGGGCTTCAACGACATGAGGCAGGCGTTGTGGCTCACCTCGTGCTTGTGTAATGGCAAGTCGTTGTTCCAACTCCCTCTATTATATTGACTCCCGAGCAGAAGCATGGCTCTTCCTATGCATGCTTACTGGTCGTCCCCCAAGTACGCTTACTGTCTTCTTGCCCGTAGCGGCGGTGGCAACCGGACAAGACCGCGACGAACGTAGCTATTGTCTTGGAATCTTGGACATCGAAGTGTTGACCTGTCGTCGGCCTTGCTGATGCGTGCCCATCACACAGACGGTGAACAATCTCTCGCCTGCCGGCGAATGCCAGACAAACTAGTCACCTAAACTCAAGCAGTGGCCCTGTTGTACATGTCTGTGACACAAGTGTCGAGAGAACTCGAAGGCGCGAAGTCTTGTCCGTCCATCACCAGCAGCAGCCCAAAGCCGAACAGCTTATTTCTGAAATCTGCAATGACAGCCCTAAACCTTCACTCTGCGAGAAAGTCGCAGCGTCAGGCTCGACGTGGCCTGCTTGGAAGATCCTTTCAGCGCAAGCTCTTGATTCGGGTGGAGGCGGGGGGGGGGGTGGACAGAAAAAGCCTGAGCCTCTCCTGAGAATGGACAAAGCTCCCGACCAGGAACCCGCCTTCGCCACCGCGCTTTCCTTACGGAGCTGGACCCTCGCATCAGCTGATGCAGAAAACTGAAGAAACCTCGAAGCTGCCAAGCCTCCGCTGAGTTTAGGATGATCAGGGACGTCTGGAAACCCATTCGAGCGGAGCTCTGAAGAAGGCCCAAGGCAACGTCCCACTGCCAGGAACGAGAGCACGAACTCGTTGCAGCGCTGAAGCAGATGTCGCTCCTGAAATAAAATTGAATGGATGGTGTTCAGCACCTACAGCAGCCGCTCTTGCACAATTTTGTCATGCAGCTGAGCTTCAGCCTGATGCGGGAAGCACTTGCCCAGGTAAGCAGTCCCAGAGAATCGGCCCAAGCACAGCCCTTGTCACAAGCGCTGGCGGCACTACCCACGAGCACGGCATCGCAGAGGCCTCCTCCCTGTTGGTTGTAGGTCTGCAAGGCGAGGGAGCGGGTCCAAAGACCGTCACTTTCAAAGGCAAGCGATGCAGCGCCAAAAGTGATGCTGTCAGTTGCCCCTCGTCGCGCTGCGGCATGAAGCAGATGGGAAGACAGCTTCCAAAAAGGTTTCAAGCCAGTCATCACTGCGGTCCAGCTCACAGCATCTGGATGCATGCGCAGTCCAGGAAAACTGCCGAGCACGCCGATACTCGTTTCCCAAGCTTCCGCCTGCTGGCAACTCCTGAGCTGCCCAATAAGTGTTTCTCTGCAGTCCGGGGTCATGGCATGTACCAACGGACGAATGGCAAGCCACACCAGAAGCTCTGCTACCTTCGACTTAGCATGACTGGGCATGAGCGGAGGCGCCGCAGGATCACGTTGAAGTGGATGACATTTGCCTTGTCCTCTTTCTTGGCCGCCTCGAGGGCTGCAAAAGCATGCTGCCACCTGGCAGTGGATTCCGAACGGGAACAGCGAAGCTGTTAGCGAAACGCTGCAGGTTTTCTGAAGGCTCCATGGTGCATCATTCAAGAGGGCAGCATGCAAGATATGCAAGCCACATCTGCACTCGGCATCCAAGCCGGTCCTAGCCAGGTCGATACAAACAAGAACACCTTCTTCGCTCGGAATGCGCTGGCGCTCCAGCCCGAACTAGACAGGCATGTTAAAGACCAGAGAGTCTTCCCTCACGAAAACTCGGGAAGCCCCATGCAGAACTGCCTTCGAGCCCTACAAGAGGCTGCAAGCACGTTGGTGAAGGCCGCCGGATCTGCCCAGGCGGGGATGGCTGCGGCCATGCGACCACTCCATGCCTCCGGGACAGGCGAATGGGGATGCCCTCGTAGACACCACTGATGCTGACAAAGGGCCAAAATCTACCAGGAGCATGTAAGTGCCGATTTATGCCTGAAGAAGAGTCACGGCTGCGAGCTGTGGTGGCAATCCAAACGATGAACGAAACCCACACTTCTGCCGCAAACGAGGGGTTGGCCATCTTGTGTTTGACCTGTCTGCTGCCCCCAATCTAAAGTGCAGCGCAGCAGGCGCAAGAACGGGAGTGAAGTGAGAGCACGATGCCAAGACACACTATGCTCCGGCCTCGTAGCATTAGCCCGGCGGTTGCCGGCAGAGCAGCAAGTGAAAAGCTGTTCGCAGGAAGCTCAGTGTGGCTCGGAACCGCATGGCGAGTCCTGATTGCCCTGGGTTTGCTGATCAAACAAGAGAAGCTAATTGCACCCTGGCATGGGGCACCATGTGGGAACCGCAACCTTCAGGCTTCTTCTTTTCTAGGTTGGAGGCTTCAGTCCCTTCTTTGCCTGTCGTCCAGGTAAGTGCTTCAGATTTCAAGGCTGTCAGTCCGGAGCGTGCGATCCAACTAGGCTCGCCGACAGCTGCATCGTGTTCACAATGAGTTTTGCTTGTGTCACTATAGCCACCCGCACGACAAGACACGACGCAGGCCAACATCATGAGGGAAGAGAACGTGCAAGCTAGTCACATCCCTAGTTCTTCAGCAGGCGACGGAGGCAAGGGAGTTCAAAGCCGCAGATGGTCAAGCGGTGCCTGGGAGTGGCCTATCCAGAAGCCAATATAGGTCAAGTCTACGCGCCCTGGACCTGCCTGGCAGCGAACTATAAACCCCAGCCATTGAATGAGTTGATCATACCCAGCAACCCAGCCACTGAATCACAAAGTCTACGAAGCAGAGCTCCACGCAAGGCTCGGCAATGGTGGCGAACTTGGCGGGCGGCACGCTCTGCTTCAGAGGGGCCCTGCACTCAGCACAGTACATCTTTGCTACAAGCAACCGTGACCGATCAATCCACAGTTTCTGATCATGACGATACCTGGAGGCACTCAAACACTTAGGCCCACAACTTTGCACCGAATCCAACTTGATCTCGGATTCTGGATTGTCGGCAAATGCCATAAGCACATTCACGTGACAGGACCCGTTTATCATGATACACTTCTGCCGGTGAAGCTCGCCCGGCAGCTTAGTCACGAGCGCCAGCAACACTACTTGTCGTCGCTCCTGGTGTTCTCGAGGACTGTTCTTGAGCCTGCTCGCGTGCCTGCTCCGTTTGGGGCCCACTCTGCCGGTTCAGCTACTCAGGCTAGGCCATGCAATGCAGCCATGCCATCGGCGGCATCGCTCTCTCTCTACTACCCTTGGCTTTGCTTCGCCTTGCGGTATGAAGGGCTTGTAGCCCCATCCAACAGATTGTGCAAATGGGCTCGGGTCCAGGTGGGCGTGTGTGTGTGTGCTCGCAGTAGCGACCCAAACCTGGTACGGTGGGCAAAAAAAGCGCTTGAATTAACGGCCCCGTGAGTCTTATGCACGCCCTTCGATTTTGACAAGGGTGGTAAGGATTGAATTAAATTAGCCAGTACCTCACTCGAAGAACTTCTGGACGGCAAAAACTGTCCGGTTGGTTCACGGATTTTGGGTGTTCCCACCTATGTGCACGCAAAAATTTGGTGCCATCGCCGTGCTGGTTCACTTGTTCTTGTGCTCCTTATCAAGTATAATACCCATCTGAAATCTGAAACACTCGCCATGCCAAACCCGTTTTAGCTTTGCTTGAGCATACTGTGGATTCGTCTTCACTGCCAACCTCGTCCGTTGCGACGAGATGCTGTTCTTGAACAATCTTGAGCATCCTATGCCATTCTTTTTCCCGGTGCGCCGAATATCCAGACCAGCTGTTTCCATGTTTTTTTATGTCTCTGCGGCTCTTTCTCCATGGGTCTTCAGCTGTTGTCTCACGTTCCCCCACAAGGCCCTCTCTCTCTCTCTCTCTCGCGCTCTTTTACTTTAGGGCATGACGGTCCTGCCACAGAACATCGACCGCAGGTTTGAGCGAAACTCTGTAAGTGCGAATTAGCACAAGTTACCCGAGCCTTGTTTCTCTTTCCGGGATACGAGATTTATGGCATGCACGGGGTAGCTCAAGGAGGAGCAAGGAGTCTGGGATTGGTTTCGGAAGCTGAATTCATGGCAAAATGAGTGAACACTTGAAGCTCCGAAGATGCGACAGCCACAACTTTGCGGGCTGTGACTGGGGTGCTCCAGTCTCTATCCCAGAGAACAGGATTTGAGACCACTGCAAATAGACTCGACTCATGCACACTGTGCTCTATCAAGATCCATCCAACCAGGCTCTTGTAAGCACTTGCGTTCATAAGACCATGATCGACACGGACCAAAGAATTATTACTGCCGCACATACCCCGGACGAAGGATCCTCGTAAAGTACTGTGGCACCATGCACAGACTCGGACACAAGGCCCCAGCAAGTCCGACACGTGGAAGGCGTGACTTGACTTCCATTTACACTCGTGATTGGCGGGCTTTTCCACACAACGCCGGAGCCTCGAATCGATGCCATAGAGGGAAAGGCTTGCTTGCTTTTGTGCAAGCGGAGGACTCGGGCTTAAATTGCTAGCCCGACCGAGAAAAGATACTACGTGGCAAGTCCCCAACGTCAGAATCCGGAAGTTGGGAGCAATCTGCACAGCGCTATCGTTCGAAAATGCGTGGGTCATAAGTACCCAGGCACTCTGCAATCTCAGGTCGGAAGCCCATGTTGCTCAGTACGTTGTCCAGACTTATGCCGGATGCGAGCTCTGTCAAAACAAGACGCTGTTGCCTCCTTGGTTGCTTTTCACATGGAGCGAGCGAGCGAGAGGAGGGAGAGGAGGGAAGGAAATCCCGGTGATGTGGAAATCACAGACCTGAGGGCTCTAGCAAGGCCAAAAAAAAGCATGAGGATTCCACAAATCTCTGACTTCTACAACTCCATGACCTGTGCGCAAGACCATAACCAAAACTCGCTGCCGAATTTCCTCGCCCAGTTCTACGAGAGAGGACCTAGCTCTTTTCTCGGGCGGCCAATGCTTATCCGAATGAGGACGGAGCGATCAAGCTTCTTTGGCCAGGTCTTGCTGTTCGGGATTTTGGGCTGCTGTGGTCAGTTGGACAGGGTACCGTCTATGCAAAGCAGATAAGCTCCAGCTGTAGGGCTCCGGAAAAGGTAGAGAGATTTCGGAGGAGCTCCCACGAGCAGGGCATCTCAATTTGGTCGCCACCAACAGGCGGCTGAGGCTCAATTCCATCACGCAGCGCTCCGTGACGAAAATAATGCGCCGAGATCCCTGGGAGGCAGATGGAAAGGTGATCTCATCGATGGTCGGCTTGAACCTCGGGGCTGACAGGAGCAAACTCGCCTTGCCGAAATCTCCAGCACCCACACGGCCCATAGGCAAGTGGTTGAAATTGACGAGCGCATGCTTTCCCGTTATGGTAAACCAAGGAACTTCATGATGGAGCCCTCCTGTACGATAACGAGCTTTCCACCTTCAACTTTCGTGACCAAGTTCCCACAGGTCAGAGTCGTGGTGAAGACCAGCGTCTTGGCGTTGGCAGCGATGTCAGCAAAGCCACCAACACCTGGCACTCGACCAGCGAAGTTGGACACGTTCACGTTGCCCTGTTCATCCACCTCGAGGCATTCTCTCAGTCTCGCGGGTGGGAGGGTCTCAGGTCGGGATGTCACTGCACAAGTTGACTCAGCCGGGGCATGGTTGAGAGCAGCCTCTCCGACACCCAGGAAGGCAACGTCGATGCCGCCACCTACCTCACTTCTTTCATGCGGTTCGCTAGACTGCCGTCTCCAGCAAAAGAAGAGACTCCCGACTTCGAAGCCAAGTCGCGTAGAAGTCCATCATCGACGAGGTGGGCATGATCGCTTCAAAGCCCACGCTCGTGCCGAAACGGAATCCGCCCTGGGCCTGACCTCCCCAAACTCCAGACTCCACTGTGGGCCTTGGCCACTAGGGATGGGCCCCTGTGATCTTCTGGCAACCGTGCAATGCTGAACGCCGAAAAACACATAGGCGATCCCCAAACATTTACCAGTGCATACAAGATCCATGTTCAATCAAACAGCATGTGGGCTGACTGGAATCTGAACCGCTACCTCAACCTTTAGGAGCGAGGCACATGTAACCCTTGAGATACGGGTTCTGCTGGCCGTGTGTTTCGATCATCGCTGCGACGAACTCCGGGGAGCCTACGCCGAAGTTCAGCACGGCTCTCTCCTCGGCTGGCATTTGGCATCTCAATACCATGTGTTTCAAAGCCGCTGATGCCTCAAGACATCCCAGCTTCGCACTTCACCTCGAACATTGCCCGGTGGGCCATCACGCGCTTTTGACAGGCATTGCGGGGTCCTTCCCAAGGAAGCTCCTGAAGATGTCGTGGGGAAAAGCTTCGAGATCTTGCGGCTTGAGGGCGCGAAGCTGCTGTTGATGAAAGGCTCTGGTGACGAGTGAAGGGCACGAAACATGTCTTCTCGGCACTCGGTGCGCCAATGCTAGAGCCCCAAGCCAGGGAAAGAGAAGCGTAGTTTTCAACCGGAGACTCTGAGTAACTCTGGGTGGGGCAAGGAGCAAAAAGAAGCCCTCAGATCTAGAGAAGTCCTCGATGGCGGCGGCTCTCGGCTTGAGTTCTCCCGAGAGGGTGGCATCGTAGGTCTGATCCTAGAAAGCTCAGAACACACTTAGGGCGGTAGGACATCACATCCCTTAAGAGCCTTGAGCATTGAGGCACGAGATCACCCAAGCTTTCTCAAAGAAAATACATTTGCGCTCTCTACCACGGGTCTGCAGGTGCATAGGTGACCGCGGCATGCTCTCCACCTGGCAGGGTCAGAAGGACTCCTACAGCGTCGAGTCTCAACAATCCATTCCGGCCTCAGCCTGCACCGACCCCCAGACACAATGCCCCTGTCCTGCGACCACAACCATGTCCACCAGCATGCCAGGGATGTGCACGCGCCGCGCATCCAGCGATCCGTGCGGCACGACCTGCTGCACCTGGACCACGACCTGGAGCAGCAAAATCGAATGCTTCAGCGCTTCAGAATTCAACTCTGGCAAAAAGAAGTGGCCTTGCAACCTACGACCACGGCTCATGGGGAAAGGCCGAGGTGCAAGGCCACCGTTGTTCTTTGCGGCCATGGCCTGGTTCAGCGAGTCCAGAAACCTTGATGTGAGGAGAACTGGAAGCAGGGGGAAGGTAATTTGCCTCCTGCATTAGAGGGAGGGTTATGAGTCAGGATTATGACTGTCGAGGTGAAGCCTGGCTTCCTCTGTGTGCAAGCATCTTTGGTCAGCCGAAGCGCAAGGGCTCTCTTTCGAAGGACACATTGCCAGCCTCATCCGCAATGGAGCCTCGAAGCAAAGCCACAGTGATCCTGGGAGCTCGGCTGCTTAATAACAAGAAAAGCACCTATGGCTGTAGTGGTCATCCTGGTCGTCGTCGTTGATAGCAACTAGTCGCTACTGGTCGTTGTCGTAGTGGTAGTGGCAGCAGCAGTCGCAGTGGTACGTCGGCATGACGAAGGTACGGGGAGCACTTAGGAAAAAGCAAGTGCCCCCTTGCACCGAGGTACTTGGGCGCGGGGTAGAAGATATACTCCTCGGAACCCATTTCCACGATCTTCACCAAATCCTCTGCAGGGTGGACTGCGCACTCTCTCTCCTAGTAGGCCCCTCTCTTGTCCGTTCTGGCTCCTCTGTCGTCTGCTTGTTACGCTTGCCGCCTCCGTTCCGGGGGTCGGCAAAGGTGCCAAGCCCGACCTTGCTCAGGTGACCTGGCACCTAAGTCTCGGCTCGGCTTTGAGGCTTCGGGGTCCGGCTGGTGCGTATATCATCTCCTGCTAGGTTTCGAAGGGAAGATGTAGAAAGCCTGGCTGAAAGGTTGGAGTAAGAGGGGCTGAAGCACACCAAAACATCGAGCTGTGGGACATGGCACCAGAGGCAAGTCCTCCTACAAAGCCTGTGACCCCAAAATGCCTGTGGTACATGCCGTCTTCAAACGTCGGACATGTATGCAGAGCAATTGCATCGCGAATGGTAACATTC